TACTTTGCTTATTTATTTATAGAATTTATGTATATCGATATAAGATTTGCGTATCTATTCTACTTTAGTAGCTTGCATGTGTTTGTTGTTGTTTTGCTATTATGTGTTTTGTGTAATGTAAACAGATCTACATTACAGAATCTAATGGCAATTCCCTACTACTATTGTTTCCAAGTGAGTTTTTTCTTTTTCTTTAATAACTATGCTATTATTCTTTGCAAATAAACTTTTCTTCTATTAGTCTATTGCTTTTTCTATTGCTGCTTCTTTCTGTTTAGAGCTACTTGAGGTGTTTTCTATTGCTGTTTTTGCTAAAATCTACTTTTTCTTTAGTGATTTTTGTGTCTGAGTGATCGACAGGAAGAGTTTTGACTTGCGCGATAAATTTATTTTTATATTACTAAAATAATTTTAAATTATTGTTATTTATATATTTTAATATATATTAAATATGTTTTTTATTTTATTATAATTTTAATTATTTTTGATTTGTTTTTTTTTGTATTAAACTAGTTTTTTTTGTAACTGAAACTTTTTATTTAGTAGTTAGAATATAAAAACTCATAGTCAAGACCTTAAAGGAGCCTTCTTATATTAGAAAACACAACTAGCTATATATATACTTTTGGTATTTAATTTAAGTAGTTTATTAATAGTTCTATACTAGCTGCATACCTAGATGTATTGTCTATTTAAATTCTCTGTATTATAATTTTTATTGTATTACTAGATTATCTTTGTTATATATGTTAATTAAAAAGATCTAAATACTTATCTATACTCTTAGAATTCTATATTTTATTTTATATAGTATATTCTTAGAAATATTGTTGCTAAAGCCTTTTGTGTTCTATATACAGCTAACTTAGTTTTATATAAAACATTATATATATAATTATTTAATATTTGCAATTAGATCTAATTTTAAACTACTATGTTATATTATTTTTATCTTTACAAAATTTTCTCAAATCTCAGTATCTATTTTTCTGATAACTTTTCTATTATCTTCTACTAATTACAACTTAGAATTGATAGACTTTTTAGACTTTCAATTTAAATAATCTAATATAATATATTTTAGTATTCTTTTTCTTTAGTAATTTTGACAGCTTGGTTAGTTGTATGCTTTTTTATATATTTTGTTATTCAGTTTATTTACCTATTTTTATGAAGATGTTTTATAAGCTTTTATTAGTCCAACAGTACTATTAAAAGTTATAGTTATTGTATAAGTCTGATGTAACAACCTATGTGGCACTATTTAATAATTTAAACTTTTTTGTGTCACTATTTAAGTAATTTCTTTAATTTGTTTGTGAACTTCTTGCTTACTAATTCTAACCTTCTTTTTTATAAATGCCAAATAACTGTCTTACAGTTAAGAATCCTGAAGCCCAACAGCTTATTAACCTTTCATATGTTGCAAATACTGAAAAAAATACTTTGAAGTAGTTGCATTATATTGATCAATACAGAGAGGAGAAAAATATTACAAAGATGTTAGATCAGTTTGATAACAAAGAAGAGCTTGATGTGTTTCTGTGTTCATTTATTGGCTGGCTTACAAAGAAAGATGATATGTCATTTAAAGTTGAGTCAATTCATAATTGCTATGCCACATTGGCAAGATATCTTAATGAAAATTCTGCTGTTGAAGGTAGTGTTCGAATCTGAGATAAGTATTCATTTCCAAGAGCCCTTAGATGCTTGGATGGTAAAATAAAATTTTTGCAAAATAACATATATCAAAAAGTAATTCGTTAACATCAAATAAGATCATATCATGTCTAAATCACAATTACTTGTCAGTTGATGATAATAAAGGTTTATTAAAAGAGTATTCTTTTGGTTATCATTGTTGTATAGATTAAGAGGAAGTGATATATATAGGTTGGAGTATCATGATCCTGAATGATGAAGTGATGATAGTCTTCAATTAAGGTTTTGCAAAGAAAAAAATAATCAAGATGGGATGCTCTATTGACAACATTATGGTTATACTGAAACAAGATTTATTTCAATCCTACCTGATCGTGTTGAGAATCAGTTTATACCTATAAAAGATCATCTTCTCTACTTATCAAAACATCCTACTAATTGTGAATCTAGTGCTTTATTCTTACAATGCACAAGAAAAAAAACAGGTAATTACAGGTTTTAATAATTATAATATAATAATTCAAATTTTATTCTAATATCTAAATTTTTTTCTTAGAAATTAAAAATGGCATTTGGTATAAGGCTTTTCAGATGAGTGAGAACAAGCTAAAGTCAATGATGCAACAAATAATAATTAATATAGGAATTGATCTTGGAGAAAGAAAAATCACAAATCATAGTTGTCAATATACTGTAATAATGATGTTGAAGGCTTTTAATATTTTTAAGAATAAAGCTTGATATTTTTAGGGCATTACTTATATGAAGGTATTAGTGCTTATAGCAGTTTAACAGATGACTAACAATTATCATTCATGGCATTACTAATTCTATATACAAGTTACAATAAAAATCTTAAATCATATTATTCTTTTCTAGGAGATTCTTATATTGATTACAATTCTGATAAAAATGATAAAATAGATTAGTTTTATTTTTAAAAAAATAATATTAATAATTTACATTTACTTATCTTTTAGATATTTTAGTAATAGAAACTTCAAGTACATTGGATTTGAGTCAAGAAGTTTCAAATATCTCAAAATTACCACCATGGCAAAACATTTTAAATACAATTTCAAAAACAATACAAAATCAAAAACCCTTTAACCCAACTACCAATTAATTCATTTCTGGTAATTTTATTTTTAATGATTTAATCAAATACATTTGCTAGAGTTAATTTTTTTTTTTTTTTTAAATAAATTTTCTAACAAAAAAGTTCGATCAAATTTGAATTCGAAACTTCTAATGCTATTTAAAAGTCTATTAATAAATAACAAAAAACTATGACTTTACCATCAGGATCAAACATCACAAACAGATAAATCACAGTTTAAGCATCAAGACCAAGCATCACAGAAAAATAACAACCACTACTGTAAGCATATAATTGAAAATCTCAAAGATGAACAAGTATTAGCACCAATTACCAAACAATACAAAAATGAACAAATATTAGCACCAACTACAAATAAAGAGTAAAAAGCAATACAATCAATTACAAATAATACTATAATTCAAATTTCAAATACTGAGAAGCACCTAAATATTAATTTGAAGATTTCTTTTTGAAATGATTGATTTTTTTTAATTTGATAATTTTTTTTTTCTCTTAATGAGTTTTTTTTTTATTAAAAATTTCTTTAATGTAATTATAATAAAATTGACAAATTACAAATAAAAAACAATTTTGCTTAATTACAAAGTTTTTTATATGCCCTAATATAAGTTTTCACCTAGTTAAAAGCTGCTGTTTTTTGAAATAGCTAATTCACACAGATATATATGAAAATCACATGATTCTTATATATACCTGTGTGAATAAGCTTTTGAAAAAAGCACAAGTTGTTACATAAGACCTGTACAATAAGTTTGTGTTATCTCTTTATTCAGAAATTTCCAAATAAAATTTTGTTTTCTTAGTTTTTTAGTTTTTTTTGTATCTGATAGTCTTATCATGAGTTTGTACTAAAGTTTTATATAAAATTGGTTATTAATATTTCTTTATATATATGTAATATTACACTTTATATAGATGCCCTAAGCTCTCAATAACAAGTAGAATCTAACTTGGTATACTTGGATTACAGCTGCATGAGGCTAACTGATCAATAAAAAATAGTTTTTATAATATAGTTTAATTTTCAAATATTGTTATAAATGAAATTTGAATTTTAGACTTGTCACTTAGAGGATAACAACTCAACCACTATACTAGGATTACTATTCTCATATTTTTAATTTGTTTTAATTTTATTTAAATGATTTAATATATAAAATACAAATAATAATAAAAATTAAAAACAGAAAAAGAAAAAATAACTGTATATAAAAATTTATAAAAGATATAAAAAATATTTGAATATATTTGAAAAATTTTAAATAATCTGTAATTTCTTAATAAAAAAAGTTATTAGTAAATAATATAAAAACAATAAAGTAAAGATGTAGTGACCTAGTGAAGTAGATAGGTTGTTAATCCTTAAGTGGCAGGTCTAAGGTTCAATTCTTATAGATGATGAATTTTAGAAATTATATTTGTATTACAATAACTGTCTCTTGCTGATCAGTTGGGTTTTAGGCATCTGTAATTTTAGATACACCAAGTTGAGTTCTATCTGATATTGAAAGCTCAAGGCATCTTTGTAAAATGTAATATTATATGTACATAAAGGAATATAAAAAACTAATATCATATAAGACTTTGGTGCAAACCCATAATAAGATTATTAGGCATAGAAGACTAAGAAACCAAAAAGACAGAAACCTACTTAGAAATTCTAAGTAAAGAGCTAGCACAAACTTTTGATAATGCCATTAGAACAATGAAAGCTTATGAAACATCTTTATAAAAACTGTCAGATAAACTGAATGACAAGATGTATAAAGAAGCATATAACCAATTAGGTCACTGAAATTGCTAAAGAAAAAGGATACATAAGTATATTATACTAAGTCATCTAAATTGGAAGTCTAAAAACTTGATTAGTTCTGAGTTGTAGCTAATAGGAGATAATAATGAAGAAGTCAGAAAGATGAGTATTAGAGTTTGAGTAAACTTTACAAAGATAATAGCAGTTTAATAGATAATTCTAACTGCAAATATTGGTCTTAGTCATAATGTCAAACCAGATTAGCAGTAAAAAAGAATAATACTCAGTCTGGTAGGTTTACCTTAAGAATAAAAATAGTCTAAAGATTATAGTCTTATGGTTAAAAGTAAATAAATTTAGGTCTATAATTTGATGAAATTAATACTAGAATCAGATCAAAGTGTTTAAATAGAACATTTAAGCAGAAGTGTTAGATATAGCAACTAATAAAGAACCTTCAAGTAGACTTCTTAAATAGATAATATAGAAAAGTTATATATGTAGCCAGTTGTATACTTGTCTGATAGTTCAATATGGATATGTCTATATAAAACATATATCTAATATAAGTATTAATAAAAAGCTAAGACCAAAAAGGTTATTTTAATACTAAAAAAATAAAAAAATAAAAATAAAAAATAAAAACAAAAAAGTTTTAATTTAAAATTAATTTCTATTTTTTGATGCACTAAAATTTAGCTAAAAAAAAATTATTTGTAAATTAATCAATAAAAAAATAAAAAGGTTTACAATCTATCTTCAGTATTTTTAATTTTTATTAAATAAATCTAAATTAAATAAAATAAAAATAAGTGAAAATAAGAGGTGTGGTGACCTAGTGAAGTGGTCAGGTTGTCAACCCTTCAAGTGGTAAGTTGGGTGTTCAAATTCCATTGATGGTGAAAATTTGGATAATTACTTATGTAATATTTGTATTATAGCAACTGTTACTAATGATTAGGTTAATATACCTGTAATGATGATCACACCAGCATGACTGGTAGGTCATGGGGCATTCATGTAACAGGTCACATGACATTGTCCTTTGGGACAAGGTTGTGGTTACACAAAGAAATGCAAACCAGCAATTAGGCAGTGCAAACACTAAATAAGTCCTTATGACCATGTAAATCTGTTAAAATTAGATAACAAGAAGTTTATTTGTGAAGACCCGAGTAGAGAGGTAGCCAGATCTTCGACGGCCCTACTGTAAAGCTAGCCTTATAAAATGGATACCAAGGTCGAAGTAGCTAGATAGGCAAAAACCTCTAGATAGAGGGTACTATCAACCAGGTTGCCAGATCAAGTCAGAGGAAAAGGATATCAGGCTGACCTAATATACCAATGAACTGGTTATAAGTCCTACTGGGTTATCTTGATTGGGAGTTTGATGAACTAGCAGAAGTATACTAAAGTATTTCAGATATGCTGTGAAGTAGATGCTAGGAGTTGTATGAACTCTATAAGGGCATAGCGATTTAATGATCAGCTCTGACCGCAAGTATTGATTCTGCTATAGCAATAACTAGATCAGCTGTAAAAATAAGTACAGAAGGCTCTGAGGAGTTTACCTTAAGGATAAATTAGTCCTAAGGTTAAGATGATGATCTGGACATCTGGGATAACCCAGTGATGTTAACACAAGTTACAGGTTCAGAGGGTTTAAAGTGGAACACTCAAGCAAAGGTATTAGATATGGCAATTGGTATGGAACCTTTGAGTAGACTTCTTAAATAGGTAATATAGAAAAGTTACATGTGTAGCCAATTGTATGCTCTTCTGTAGTAGTTCATTGAACCACAATACTGATAAGTGATTAATAAAAGTCAAAAGACCAAAAAGGTTACCTTAATACCAAAAAAAAAAAAAATAAGTAAAAATATAAAATATTTTAAAAATAATTAATAATAAGCAAATATATATAAATAAAGTTAATTCATATAAGAATTATAGTAATATTATAATATACTGTAAATTAAAATTATTTATAAATATAATTTAATGATTATACCTTCTCTTGGCCTTTTTCTTGTCTAATAAAATTTGTTAATTATAATTAATATTAAAAATAAATTAAGTATTATAAAATAATACAAACTATTCTAGAATTTTACAAAAAATATATATATATATATTTTAATCTTAAGCAGTTATATTAGTATTTTATATATATACAATTATATAGAATTTTATAAATCTAAGTTAAGCATTACTCAGTTATCTTATTGGTATCTAAGTGCATCTGTCATGCTATCTTAGTTAAAGATAAGCTGCTTATCTAACTACTTAAAGTTATACTAAAAAGGTTTTCTACCTTCTGTAAAAAGCATATTAATTAACTTTTAAACTTTTTTTTATTTAATTTGTTTTTTCTGTTTTTCTTTTCTTTTTTTTTTTTTTGTTTGTTATTTTTTTTTTTTCTTAAACTTCTTTCTTATATGAGCATTTTTTTTATTTTAATTGTTATATTAATTTTCCTTTCTTAGTCTTGCATCTTTTATATTAGACTTTTTATATTTAATTAAAAAAAGTATTCTATACTGTTCTTATTACTATGTTTATGCATTTATGTTTTACCTACTTGTTTAAAAATTATTCAAGTTTTTCTTCTATTTTTAGTATAGTAAGTTTTTTTATTAACACTTTTCTGTTTATAAATTTTTTTGCTTTTGTTTTTTCAAAGATTGCTTTATATAATACTTGTAGTAGAATTCTGTTTTTTTTTCTTTTTAAGCCTATTTTATGCTATTACTGTTGCTACCTTTTGAATTTGCTTCTACAAACTTTTTTGTTTATTGCAACTTGCTAAATGTATTTAAGTTTTTTTTCTTTATTTTGGCATATCTGGCATTTTGAAGTTGTGTATACTTTTGGCCTTCTTTTGTTTAGTTCTTTAAGTGTCTATAGGCTATTTATTATATACTTGATTGCTATAACTTTTCTTGTACTAATTTTTTTAATATATAATAAACTTTTTTTGTTCTGTTCATTTATTTTTAAAAGCTTAACTAATTATATAATATATTTTTTGATTCTAATATTTTTATTTGATTTGTTTCTTTTCAACTAGCTTCAATTCTAGCATTTGCTATTATTTTATACAAAAGTCTTGTTAGTATATAATTTTTTTGTTTTTTTATTTTAAATAATACTTTATTTCATTACAATTGACCTTCTTTGCATATATTATATCTTTACAAATTGTTTCTTCTTTTTGCAAAAAAGTCTGCTTTATTATTTCACTTATTTTTGCTATAACTTTTAATTTTAATTATTTTTATTTTAATGTTCTTACTTTTGATAAGTTCTACAATATTTATTATTCATATCTTATTTTTCTTTTTTAAAATTCTTCTATCTTCTATATTTTGAATTGCTTTATTAATGTTTTTTAATATAGCAATACTGTCTGTATATACTTTTATGTTTTTTTTTTGGTATTATTAAAATTACTGTTTATATTGCTACCAGTTTTGCTATTGTTGCTAAAAATCATTCTTCAAGTCTTAATGCAATTTCTTCTTTGGTTAGTCTCTTTTTTTTTCTACTTATATCTAACTAATATTTATTCTTTTTATATTGTTTTTTACTTTTTTCTTATATAGTGTT